AGGTAAGAGGGTTTCACCTTGGATGAAATAAGACTGGAAGGTTGAGAGCCTATCAGGATGACCTCGCATGCCATGCTGTCATTTGCCTTTCTCTAATAGAGCGGCACCATGGAAGGTTTTCAGAGTATAGTAAGTAACAGAGTCAAGGCAGAGGCTGATGAATATTCACTGGGCAATGGTCAGCAAAAGAGACTGGAAGAGTGTTGAGACAATTTTGATAACCTTTGTGAGAGGTCAGCAGAACCTAAGTTACAATGAATTTAAGTGGTGGGTCTGAGGGTCATTTCAATGAACTTTCTAAACTTCAAACTAAGAAAATACCTTAAACAAAAGATCGTCCAAGCAATTTAAATGCCTAACGTCTAGAAACAGGAAGTTAATAATGGGTTGTCTTAAATCATGATTGGAATCTTTGATTATCAGAACTAGAAGGAAACTTATAAATCATCTAGTCCCACCTCATTTTATAGGTACATAAGCAGGCCCAAAGAGTTAAAGTAATTTCTCAAAAGTTGCAAAGAAATCCTGGAGTGAATGCCTAGAGAAGATACTATAATTCAAGTTTCTTCAATCCTAGGCTGTCTGGGGACCTCCCTTAAGGGAAAGCATACGGTTTTAATTGTTACCGCCCCCTACCCCCCCCAAAAATACTCTTTGAATCATTCTTCTTTATTCTTTTCTTATACATCCAAAGACCCCATTTCAGTCTTATTGGCTGGTGGCTGTTCTTCCATTGTACTTTAAAACATGGTCCTTTCTATGTGCTTTTAACCACTTCCTTAGCTACAATGAATACATTTATGTAAAAGGGGATCCAGATCTAAGCCTCTAGTCATGACCTTTCTCCTCACACCAAGCCAACATTGGACATCTCCACTGGGGTTGCACAATAAAAAGTATTCTTTTCCTCGGCTACCTCTTTTAAGTTCCTCAGTTGGCTTAACAGATCCTCTAGTCAACTTGGGTTAGAAAACTTACAGCCACCTTTAATTCTGTCCTCTCTTATTCATGACTCCACATACCTCCTGAAGATGCGACTTCCTTTCCACTTCACGGGATAGCCATAGCCAAGGGCTTCATTACTCTCCCCCTGGACTATGGTGCTTATATTCTAATTGGGGTCCCTGCCAGTCATCTCTTCTCAACCCATCTATTTTTCACAAAGCTCTTCAATTACCTTCTTTAAATACATATTTGAATCTTGTCATTATTCAAGCCCTCCTGACTTCTTACTTGAACTACCAGCCTCCTAACTGAGAAGCTGGCACACTTTTTCTGTAAAGGGACAGATAGTAGATATTTTAGGCTTTGAGGACCATATTCAACCCAAATGTGGTAGAGAAATACATAATAAATGAAGGATAATGGTGGCGTTTTCTAATAAAATTTTACTTATGGATGTATAATCTTCATGTGTCAAAAAATATTGTTTTCCCTTTTTTTCATCAACTTAAAAATATAAAAACCATCCTTGGTTAATGGTCACACAAAAACAGACGATAGGTCAGACTTGGCCCATTGGCTGCAATTGCTGACCTTGGGCTAACTGGTCTTTCTCTCTCCTAGATCAACTCTCAAAGCTCACTTTCCACACTGTTCTCTGAGTCAAGCTCCCAACCCAGAAATTCAATCTCGTTGACACCCCTGCTTAAAATGCATCAAGAGCAACTGAGAATGGGCGAAACTCGGGAGATGGCCCCTAAGGCTCTTCTGCTGGTCCCTGCTTCCCCTTTCCAGTCTTATCTCCTACCAATCACCTAATCTGATAGTAGAGTTATGTTTTCTCCCAACTTTATGTCTCTGTATTTATTGGTCTCTCTACCTGGGGTACCCAACCCACCATTTTCCACTTTCAGAATTCTCACTCATGAACTCACTAATCAAGATTGCTGCCAAATATCTCCACCTCCCTGACTATCCCTTTCTCACTGTCAGCTTTCCCTGATATCAGCTTTCCTTGACTACTGCCTTCACCTCTGGTGCAGACTGGGCCAGACCTCCTCCCTATGTGCTCCTGTGGTAATCATCACTTTTATCATTGCACTGTTGTCACACTCCATTATATTTGAATATACAGATGTGGCTTCTTTACTAGAGTATGAGCAATCTAAGGGTAGAAACTGAGTTTTATTTTTTCTCTCTATGCCTAGGACCAAGCAAAGTACTTAAAAGATAGTAGGTGCTCAATAAATATTTGTTGACTAAGTGAATGTTACACTCACCCATTTGGGTCCTTTAATTAATGCTAAATTTCTATTTTCTTTTTTTTTTTTTTTTTTGAGACAGGGTCTTACTGTGTCACCTAAGCTGGAGTGGAGCGGTGCAATCATAGCTCATAGCAGCCTTGAACCTCAGGGCTCAAGTGATCCTCCATCCTCAGCCTCCTAAATAGCTGGGTCTATAGGTGCACCACCATGCCTGCCTAATATTTTTTGTTTTTTGTAGAGATGGGGTCTCATTGTGTTGCTCAGGATGATCTCGAACTCTTAGCCTCAAGTGATTCCCCTGTCTTGGCTTCCCAAAGTGTTAGAATTACAGGTGTGAGCACTGCGCTTGGCCTCCATTTACTATTTTAAAATCCAATAAGGAGAAACACCAAAAAAGTGGTAGGCTATTTTTCTTTTAGGTTGATGTACAGATTTCTACTACACTTTTTGAATTTTCTTTGCCTCTAAAGATTTGGATCCTTATTTCATCATTACTTTAAACATGGTTTTCATATTCAATTTTAAACTTTGTTTAGAATATGCCATTTGAAGTGTTTAAGTTGAGACTGTGTGGTAAGGTGTTATCTGTGTGGGAGTTATGTATTTCAGCTGATCTACACTGAAAAAGAATGACACAACATTTCTCAGTCACACACCTGAGTATACTGAATCAATAAAGCATGGTGAGGGGTAGCAAACTTAAAAAAAAAAAAACAGAAAAAAAACAAAAAGACAAAAAAGTGCTATATATCAGAAATAGCCCAACAACCAAGTCACATTGTCAGTGCAAAGGGGAGATATACACAGTTCCTTGCATTTCTAATTGTCATCTTTAAATTTATGAATGTGGATTTTATAAAACATGAACACAGACTAAGCATAAAATGCTTACAAAAGAGTACTGTACTTAGAAAATAATTTTTATTTCCTGTAAAACTACGTTTAAATTTTTGTAGAATTGTTTTAAATAAAGCTCAACAACAAAAAAAAAGCTTTCTATGGAACCAAGCAAAACCGTTTTTCTTAAGAACAAAGGAATTAGTTACCACTCGTCCATTTTCAGCAGTTGCTGCATCTTAATATGCTCTACTTGCAAGAAATTGATCTTGTCAAACACTACAAATTGATACTACACGGGAAAACTCTCTATGGACTCTGACTTCAGAAATTAACTCTCTGAATAAGACAGAATGGCAAAAGGGGCAAAACCAGCATTAATATTTATTTACTGAAGCTCAGCCACACTGAGACGTTAAAAGCTGTCCTATTTCTGAGGTTTAGCAGTGCTTAGCACACAAATGGTTGGTTCTGAATAGAAGTCTGACAGAAAAGAAAAACTATTAACATTACCATGATGAAGCTAAATTCTGAAACTTGTAAGATTAAATAACCACAGGAATTATGCTAACATTAGGTTCTCAGTTCTACAATGACAATACTTTAAATGAGCATTAAAAGAACAGTCATTATTCTGCAATATTAAGCAATTTTTTTCTCATATGTTTCATCTATTAGGATTTTTTTCTAGATACCATACATGTATAAATAATGTATTTTCTTTCTTTGCTTTCTCTTTCTTTCCTCTTTCTTTTATTGTTTAAAAGGGAAGATGTAAAATCATTTGGAATATTATCATAACAAAATGTTTCATACAAGGTTTGATTTTAACAGAACCAGAGGCATCTTAACACTCACCCAAAACTTTGGGAGGTTCACCAACCTCTAGAATATTTTTTTCTCCAAATGCAGGCTGTTCAAGTGGTGCTTTTCTCCATCTGTTAGCATACCGTGCTCAGAATTACATTGTCATATTTAATGTAAAAGGGATCAGTCCCCTTTCATAGTTTAAATTCAACATATTACTATGATTGGAAGACCAGTGTTTTTCTAATTTATAAACCAAACCAAATATCATAAACTTACATGTTTATTTAAACAAAGTTCTCTCTAAAAACTGAAAAACTCTAAGAACTGAGCAACCCCAAAGGCTTGATGTGAACACTGAAAAATCGTAATAAAACTCAAAGTGAAAAGAAACCACATATGATAAAGTGAAATATCTACTCTCTCTGTTTGAATTTTTCTTTCTATGTGTGTATTTGTGTGTGTGTGTGTATGTTTTTCCAATGCAGCAAATTCACAATGCTTACAACCTAAAGAGTCTTAATGTAATTTAGGGCCGAGCTACATATTTACTAAAGTTGATGACAATGATGATCACATCACAAAATCTCATGATGGAAACAAAGTAATCTGAAACCTCAATGGTGTAAGCCCGGTTATAATAATGATTTGAACATGAGCAGTGCCAATCTATTTCATCTCGAAATTTTACACCTCCTTAGGATGCAGATTCCTTATTTCGTATCAGTTCCATTTCAATTTGCACCTTACAATTTATTTACTTTGTCTCTCTCACCGAGAGTATTTATTATTTTCCTAAATAAATTCCTCACATCCTTCAGTTCAAGATTTTTATTAGACGTAGAATTAGCAGAAGAGGTAGTAGTGGTGGTAGGAGAAATATGTCATTTTGCTTATATTGATAGAGAATCACCTAAATATTTGAGCATTGTAGATGAAAGGTTTTGTAATCTATCAGTAATTCCCTGCCACACTTATCATTCACATGTCTGGGTGTTTTGCTCACCACATCTCCACTTTTCTTAATATGCCTGAAAGCTATGTGTGAATTGAATGACTCAGACTAACTCTAACAACTGTTTGGAAGCCTGTGGCAAAAATCAGTGGAATGAAATCGGTGCCATGGCGCATAATGGGATTAGGGAGTACCTGGTGAGGTGCAGTTGGTGCTCAGATTCGCCCAGCAGTTCTGTTAGTCTCAGGCACTCCTCTCTGGCCCGGGCTGCCTTCTGCTGCTCCTGTTCCAAGTGTTGTTTGCTTTCACCCAGTTCTATTCTCAATTTCTCTATTTCCTTAGGTACAGAGAAGGGGAAAAGCATCCATATAAAATACATGCACTTGAATTCAAAATCAGCTCATTTTTAGTTTTTTGCCATGAATTTCAATGTGATAAAAAATTATTAGAAAATGTAGGCTAACTTCCATTTTATGACAAAAGGAATTAGCACATCCAAAAATGCACATGAGTAAGATTTGATTTTGGATTGTAAAATGAAGTCTAATTTTAAAACTGAAACGATTAAATGAGAGCAGTCAAATTGGATAATTGCACTTTCACTCTAAGAGTTATTCCCTTTAAAAAGTAATATTTACTTAAAATGTGACTACCTTTAAAATGTGACATTTTTGTGTGAGATTCAATCAGACACATGCAGTGATTTACATCAAGTATGTACTTTTTATTCTAAAAGATAAATTTATGGCTTCATTTGGGTGTTTTGAAACCCAAATTAAAGGTAAAATAAATAATTTAAGAGATTTTTAGAAAATTGTGAGGTGTAAAAAATGGCATGATTATGATGTTCAATATTACTTGGAAAAAATAATCCAGGAAAAAAAAACAGCATGAGAAATTTAAGCATTGAGAGTATATGAGATTTCTGAGCTAAAATAATATTTCCATTTAAATTTGTAATTTTAAAAGTCAACAAGAACACTCTAAGACTAATAAATATGAAAATATATGAAGGTTTATTTTTTGGTTTCAGGGTGAAATTATCCTTATCTTACTGAAACTCAAATATTTCAAAGCAAAAATACCTTATATAGGCCATAATTTTAAATAATTTATATATTAAAGTAGAAATATTTATTTATCAATAGAACATCTGTAAAATTAAGTCAAAGAAAATAAAAGATGAACTTTTAAAAATATTTAGGCTATTAAAACAAGAAAAAAAAAAGAAAGGGCAGAAATATTTTCAAATTCAGCAGAAAGCAAGAAACAAATTTGATACAGAAAAAATGCAACCTCCTTTTGGAAAACAAAATTATGTGTAAGTAGAGGGATTTAAACTTAGTATTTAAGTAAACTTCCAAATTTTCTCATGTCCTTATTCAATATTCTGAACAACCTCCAACTGCATTTAATACATCATGTAGGATAAATTAAATAATTCATTTACACTTTTTCTTGTATTCATAACAGTACAAATATTCAGCTTATCTCCATCAAAACCATACATTAACCAACAATATAATAACTTAGTACAGTTCTCAAATATTGGTTTATTTGAAAAACTATGAAATAATTATATCATTTTCATTCAGTGTAGATTTTCTGTATCTTTCAATTGAAATACTAAGTTAAACTGACTTGTTTCTTTAAAATATTGTGTTATTAAAGTTAAACCCATATATTCCCAATTTCATAATTAAATATAATTAAAGAGATAAAAATAAATAAAGAGTATTAAATGTGTATTGTTTAACCTTTAAAAAATTAACAAAAGCAAAGAACTATAGAATTGGAAAGATATGCTAACTTTAAAACTTCAAAAATTCATTCATTAATTTTCTTACACAGTCCTATATGCAAGCAACTATACTAAATAAGATGATGAATTCAGAGTTCCCATCTCTAAATTCAGTAGTTAATAATTCATCTGGGTAAATGAGACATATATACACAAGAAGACTATCAAAATGCAAAGCATATAAAAACACCAACTGAGTTATAGTGAAAATTCATGCCTCAGTAGCCAGATGAGGGATATATTAGCATGAACAAGAAAAGTGAGAAAGAAGTGAGGGCACAAAAGCTCTGGAGTGATACTTTCGATCACATGAAAGCTCTTTAATTGTAAATTAATAACACTACCTTTTTCTTATAGATCATAGGGTGACATTAATGGTTTAAACAGGTATGCAATATGACAGAGGCTGAGCTTGAGAAAACTGGATCAATGTGTACAATCAATTTAAGGTGGCAAAGAATGGCAGAAGGAAGGCCATGAAAAGATAATTGCAGTATTCCAGACATGAGGAGTGGAGGGACTTAAAACAGAAATACAAAGAGAATATGGTGATTTTATGGAAGTAAAAGGAGCGGAATCGGAAGACCAAAGATGACTCCAGAATTTTGAATTGAGAGAAGACAAAAGAATGACAGAAACAGAAAATGTATAAAATTCCAAACTTTTTTTTAAAAAGAAAAGATACAATTTTTGTAAGCACTATGCAACAATAACAACGTATGTACCTTACACTGGTAATTAGATTTTAAGTATAAATTAGCTGCTTTCTTTTTCTCATGGACTAAAAAGTCAAGGGTTGCATTGCAAGACAGTCCAAACACAGAGGTAAAGAACATGGGTGTGACAGCCAACACAGATCAGGGCTGCAGACACAGCTCTGGCACTTTTCTGTGACCTTGGACAAGTCATTAGACTATTATATAGTTTCTTCCTTCCAAAATTGGAGTGATAACAAGCTCCTAAAGCTGTTGTGAAGATTAAATGAGGCTGGGAATTCTTAGTAGAGTGCCTAACACACAGTAAAAGCTGAATAAAAGACAGCGAGTATCATTATTACTGATTTTTCCCTTTGTCTTTCAAGAACAGAAAAGTGGTAAGAAAAAATGACCCACCTAAGAATATATGACTATCTCTAAAGAGTTCTCAATTCATAAAACTTCCCCCTTCTCAATAAAGCAGTATTTTGGTGAAAACTGAATAAAACTTCATCTATTGTAATTTCAAAATGTGAAATGCATTTTTGTTAGGAAGATGGAAAATTACTGCCTGCTTCTGATTATCCATGCCAGCAAAAGAGCTTATTGGTGCAGATAATCAAAATCAACAAATAATCTAACCAGCTGGACCAGGGCTCAACACTTACTCCCTGAGTCAGGAAAATCTGCCATGGCACCAAGTCCAACCGTTAGAAGAGAAATCTCTTGCCAGAAATGCCATGCTCCCACTGGCAGGATAACCCTTTGCCTCACCCAACTAGGTCAGGGCTGCTTCCCTGGCTGTATATAGTAGCTTGGGGATGAAAGACCAACCATAGCCATAGGCCAATCGTACATTACTCTCAAAGCACACTATTAACCTGCATGTCTACGGTGCAGTTTGATGTGGCCATCTTTTGGCTAACTGGGCAAAGGCAGGTCCAGCTAGCTTTACACCTTATCAAAAGATATCTTTCAAGTCATGACTATAACCACCAGAACAACTCAAAGTAGAAACTATTAAAAGTGATCACTGCTAGAAAACAGTACTGGGGATCGAATGTGGAAAAGGGGAGACTTGATGCTGTTCATTTATATCCCTCCACACTGTAGGAAGTTTTTTTCTTAATCATGGGCATATGTAACTTTATTTTTATTGTTGATTAAATTTGCCCATCAAAGTAATGCACCTAATTTAAGTCACATAGTACTAAATGGCTCATAACAAGGAACAGCAGTGCCCATGACCTATGTTCCCTATTTCAAACCTAATCTCCAATGGCACACACCATTAGCTCTTCTGATGTTTATCTTCATATTTTTAAAAGACAAACTTATATTGCTATTTCTTAAGTTTTCCATATTAGACCTTTCTTATGGGAAGAAGGGTGACAATTTAGGTCTCGTACCACCCACCCTACATACCCACCTCATGCTCCCATATAATGATTTTGGTTAAAGCATTAGTCAGTAGTTCATTTACATTATAATGATTATGAAAAATTTGCTCACTGAGAAAAGTATTCTCTTGTTTAAATTAACTTCTTACATATCATTTTATTATTTCTAGAATTAATTGCCTAGTTTTTTAATAGTTTGTTTTTCTAGATAACTGACATTTTTCCCCAAATATTCAAACATATCTGTTAAACAACCATCAACAGTATTTTTTTCAAATAACCAAACATATTAGATAAAGTATAAGTTCTTTTAAAAAAAAATTTCTGGATATATCCCTCTTGGCACCTTATGTATGGCCTGGTTGATCTCTATCTTGTGACAAGTCTTCTCCATACTCTTTTAGAGTTCTTTGTTTTCTGGGTCATAAGTCATTATGTTTCTCAATTTATTCCCTTTTTTGGTATGAAAGCTATCTCCAGGTAGCTTTCATACGAAAAGGCACACGAAAAACACATTTTTGAGTATTCACATGCCAGAAAATGCTATTACTGTATGCATACACTTGATTGTTTGGCTGGGTATAAAACTCTATTTTGAAATTAGTTTTCATTCAGGATTTTTAATAACTATTTCACTGTCTTCTAGATCCTAATAGTACAACTGAAAAACCCTGTACCATTCTGATTCTTAGTACCTGGTCTATGATTTATATTTTTTTCTTTCTGGAAACTTTTACAGTCATCTCTTTTTCCTTGTCATTTTGAAATTTTGCAATGCTGAATCCTGGAATGGAGCTGTTTTTCATTCTTTGTGCAGAGTTTTCAGTGAGTCCTTTTCAATCTGAAGGCTTATTTTTTTTCACTTTGAGAATGTTTTCTTCTACTATTTCAAAATATTTTGATGCCATACACTTTAGCTCCAGGACATTAGTTGTTGGATTGATTATCTCATTTTCTTATATTTTTCCATCTCTGTCTTCTGATTGTAACTTCTGAAAGATTTCTTTGACTGATGACACCTCATTTTGAATGTTAAGAAAATTTTCTACTCCTTTTGTATTTCTATGAGCTATTTCTTTTTATTGACATTTTTGACATAGCATGCTAATTTTAATCTATGAATATAATATCTTACCTATTAGAATATACAGTATTTAAATGTTTTCCTTTGCTCATTATATGTTGCCTCAGTTTCCTCCAGGTTCCTTTCTTGTTTATCTGATTTGGACTCTCCATTATGGTGTAGGTTTTCCTCAAATACAGGGTAATACTTGGCTATCCTTTTATATTTAAGAATGAGGCAGTTAATAAACATGTGGGTTTAATAGTTTTGGGGTAATATGATAGTTTATTCCGACTGTTGTTCAGCAAATATTCACTCCCATCTCTCTTCCACTGAGAGTGGACTACATTACGTCTCCCCAGGGACTCTGGGCTTAGC